AAAAATGTGTTCCAAGTGTGGAACTAAGCATGGCTTTAAGTGTATCAGCATTACCTGCCAGTTACATGCAGTAATGCCCAATACTTTAGAGAACAACTGTTCTGAACAGCTAAAAGACAGCATGGTAATGAAGGAATGTTGTGTACCCATGCTTCTGGAACCCTACCATGGTGTGATCAGCACCCAGGGCATGCAAAAAACTGTTGCTGCTCAGCCTAAGTCCAAGCACAAACCAAGCAGACACAAAGTATTTAAAGACTAACTTACATCAGTGTGAGCTATTAATACCAAACGTGGGGAAAAACAAGCTACACTTTCCCTAAACCTGCCTAGATATTTCACTTGACAGACTCAAGAAACAAACCCCCTTCTTGTAAAATTCAAGTCAACTCAATGCCTACCTTGCAGCTGTATTTAAACACAACAGCAGCAACAGCACAAGCAAAACTTCCATGAAGTTTAAGCTGTTGTTTTCAGACTCAAGAAACCCAAGCAATTACAATTCATGATTGCACACTTGCAGCTTGTCTTCCTTCAGCACAAGGAACTGCTAATAAGTTTCAGACAAGTTTCGCAAAGGGAAAGAGTACACAGAGCTTTTGCTAATGCTTTATCCCCAGCACATCCCAGACAGAAATTCATAACTTCTATAAGCTTCTGAGGCACAGAAGGATCCACTCATAAAATACATCCAAAAAGAAGATCCAAAAGAAAGAAAATAGTGACTTTTAGATACCAAATGCATCACCTCTAACCTCAATAATTTCTTGTTTGTTTAATAGGAAACAAATGTCAATAAAACCTTTCTATGGCTGCTGTTCCTAAGCATGAATAACTGGAAAGATTGACACCTTCCTACTTAAAAGGTTTGGAGTGGGGAAGAGGGTAAAAAGCTGCTTGCTGTATATCTTTTCACAGACAAATAGCAGGTCTGATCTGCAAATCCAACTGTTCTTCCCCCCACACATCTACGAACAAGCTTTTTTAAGGCTCCAGAACAGAAAGCCTTAAACTGGAAGAGGGTAGATTCAGATTAGATATCAGAAAGAAATTCTTCACCACGAGAGTGATGAGACACTGGAACAGGTCGCCCAGAGAGATAACCCGGGAAACATTCAAGGCCAGGCTGGATGGATTGGCTTTGAGCAATGTGGGCAGGTGGAAAATTCCAGGGGAATTGGATCTTAAAGGTCCCTTTCAATTCAAACCATTCTATGATTCTGCAAAAGAAGCTAAATGCTCTCACCAAGCTCTCTTATGTATCCCAACAGATGTTGAAATTCACATTCAAAGACAGAAGTTCTCTCTTCTTTCCCTATTCCCTCTTCTAAAGGTCGGATTCAGAAAGTACTGCATGCTGCATTGTTTTCAGATTTCTGTAAGTAGCAAATTTCTCACTGGCAATGAAATTTCACCTTCAAATATCCCGTTTCCCCATTACTTCTCTGGGATTGTCTCCACCACACAGCCACCTTTCAAATCATTTTGTTTGCTCCGGCTCAAAGGAAAGCAACAAATATAATTTTTCATCATATTTCTGTATTCAAGTAGATACATCTATGAAAATATTACAGGTTGAAAACTGTCACCAGCAAAAGCTACCAGCTGACACACAACAAAGCTCTCAGGAATTATTTCTCCTCTTCTTGTTTACCAACTGGAAAGATCTCTGTAAACTGCAGCACAACTCCAACTTTTGAAGCTGCATCCTTTACTACTGAATATTTTTAGTGCATCTGTTGAGAAGCCTTGTCTCATGAGCACTATAGAAGAGCCAAAAGATCTTGTTTAAAGCAAAGCTGAGTGCTCTCCCAGGACATATCTGGCCCCGTTCTCCACTCACTCAGAATGATACAATTCAGAACAAGTTGAACTCCTTTGTTCAGACTTTCTTGATTTTTTATTCTCAAGTATTCTTTGCTCCACTAAATTAAAAAAAAAAAAAAGGGTATTTTCCTAACAGCATCAGTATACACATAACATAGTTTCCACATTTCTGTGTGCAGGCTCACAATTCCTTTGGGTTAGAAAAATGAATGTACGCACATTTGTGCATTTGCAGATGCCTTCTGAGACCAAGTACATGCTGAACAGAAAATGCATCCATCAGAGAGAACGCTGATGTTAAAATAAAATAATGGCCAATGCACTACGACATATTGCAAGCATTTCTTACCGAGCCTGGAGTCTCAGGCATATACCATCTCAGCCATAAAGGCCAGTCCCCCATGTATTTATCAGGAATTATAACCTCTGCACAAGGGTACACATGTGCAGACCTACAAATATACAGCTACTTCTGTAGCTACCAACATTTTACTTACATCAATGCATAAACTCATAGGAAAGTATTGCTCCCCTTACTTCAGAACTCACAGAAGCTGCGTATACAGCTGAATGCAGGCATACAAGGTCACTGTATTCTATGCCTGATAATGTGCCAGACATTGAGAAGTGGCTTTGTTACCTTCTAAATCATAAGTGACAACATTCAAATGAGGCAATATTTAATAAAGATGGAACATCCTTCATAACCACTCACATCCACGCAACAGGATGGATTCTGAGCCTCAGGTTATGGGGAAAGCATGAGGTAGGTGCTGTATACACCCCCAACCCATCAAAAACAAGAGACCCATCTGAACATTGTACAGAAAGCAGAACCACATCTGCTATTGCAGGCAGAATATTGGGAGCTGTCGCTCAAACCAGCTTGAATAACCAAGGTGGTCCTCAATGAGTGCTGCTCATAAAGCAGACGTGTTTTAAACGCTCCATCCTGGCACTTAATAGAATGAAACACTATAAAGTCATAGAATATCTTAGGTTGGAAGAGACCTTAAAGATAACTGAGCTCCAACCCATCTGATGGGTTGCCCCCCATCAGATCATCCTTGTCATACTTTTATCAACAGTGGTCAGAGCCAAAAGGTGGGGTGGGAATACTAGCAAAAAGAATCATCAAGAAGCTTTGATATCTGTCTAAAGGGTGTCCTCAAATTGCTATGCAGCTCATTCAGCAAGATGAAAAATTCAAGGCGTTCGATGAGATGTGACATTAGTTTGGACTCTTCATTTTAAGCTCTCTCATTAAAAATGATCGACTGCAATAAGAAATCTGAACAGAAGATGGATTCTTGTACCAGTTGTAGGCGTTGTCAGAGAGCGCTTAATCAGATTAACAGAAAATATTTTTAATATTAGCTCTGATAACAAGCATACAAAGCATGCATCGATCTGGCAGTTTTCAATAAATGTAAATGTGAAATTACTGAAATGAGCAAAATTTACCCAAAGAATTTAGGAGAATTGGGTGCCCCACTCCCAGGATCATTTCAAAATCCCACACTGAATGAATCATCTTTTGGAGGAGTTTCCATGAGTTAGCATAGAATAGGTGCTATATTAATTTTTCTTACACTGTGACTATAGTGATAACTGAGTAAGTTAACACTGCTGCATGGATCGTGGACAGCTCTGAAATTTAAAATGTACTAAAAATTATTAGAAGGTTACTTGTAAAATAAGCCATAACTAAAAATTGCTTAAGGGATAATGAATTTTTCTGATTTAGCAACCTTCAGATAACTTTATCATGTTCATCCCTATGAAATACAAGGTCATCATTCACAGCCAAAGAGAAAACATCCAAAGTTCACTCTTACATGTTTTCCTTCTTAATGAAGGAAATCCCACCAAGCTCACAGTGAGAATTAAGCTTAGCTGGGAAATACACAGTTTCTGCGACGGAAAATTATTATTTTCCAGCAAGTCTCAGCACTGGTCCTCTCAAAGGCTACAAACTGTCAGAAGGGCTCTTCCCTCACTTGGTCATTGGGGAGGTGGCTTAAATGAAGTAAAAAATGAAACTAAAAATATTTTTAAAAAGAACGCGAAAGTTTATTTCTATAATACAGTGCAAATCTGAACAGCAGCTCTGCAGGGTAATCTAAGGCTGCTGTTAAACAAAAACTCAGATACAGCCTTGGTTGGTGGGAACGGCACCATTCTGTCCTCTACTCAGGAAGAGGCACCTGTCTGGCACATAAAGCTCTACTATTCCCCAATGGGAAAAGGCAGCCAATTATCCAGAAAAATTGTGACTGTAGCACTGAAGATCATTTTATTATTGCCTGGAGGGCTTTTGAAGCTCTCCCTATGAAATTGTCTAGTAAATAATTCAATGAAAATGATTTACTTTGGTGGGGAACGTACAAGGGAAAGCCTTTCAAAAAGAGCATTCTGTCAAAAGTTATTTAAATTAATTTAATCTTAAATTCCAAACAAATTGACTTAGATTAACTTTCAATATCAATTAACAAAAGCTGGTTGTTCCTTTGTGTGCTCAGTTAAAGGGTTGAAAAGAAGCTAATAACATGGTTCTGCTTGCTCTGTTCTTTTCCATAAATACTGCAACAGGGCACTAAGAAGTAGAAACCTACGATCACAAGCCATGAACAACTTGCAAGAATTAAACTGACTTCTTTAAAGCTCTGCAGTACATCTCATCCTCCAACTGTGATGCAACCGAAACTGAACAGCACGCAGCTCAGCACGCTCCCATTCTTTGGGAAAGCTGTGTTTGGAGCTACACTGGAGTTCACAGCAGCGCAGATCAGAGCTAATAGAATGAACCAGTGTTAGTGTAAGGCATGTTCACCCCCACAACAAATGGAGTGAGCTTTTCACCTGAAATACACGTGCCTGCCCACATCCTGAGCGTATCATAGCCCTCCTCCTCTTCCTTCCCCACCTCAACAGCTGCCATTGAGCAGCATCAACAAAATCAACCCATCCAAATAATGGTTAGAACTGCTCACAACGCAGCTCCATCTCACAAAGAAACTGTCACAACAAAAGACAAGCAACTGGTCCGCTTTCAAAATGACAGCATTCCTTCTTAAGTCCACTGTATTTAGCTTTGGGAGTATTTAAGTTGGGAAGAAGGACTTTAATTGACATCAAAATTGTGCAGGGAAACTAAAATGGACTGTGCTCACCTTCTCAGTCCCAAATGGCACCTGACCTCCACCTCATATACCACAGGCACTGATGCGTAGGGCACACCCATGCTGGAACAGCATCCATCTGTCACCTCTAAGAAGCAGAAGGCTGAAGAACAGGAGCCCACATCCCTACAAAACCAAAGGAAGGTGGTCAAGAAGGCATTGGATGCTAGATAGCTTGAAACCCTTGAATGCTAGTGCAGATTATAGCAGCATTAAACATGACTTAAAGCGACTGTTTAAAGGGAAGAGCGTATTCTAATGCTCAGATATTAACTACCTGGTTGTATTGTAATGCACAGCCAGTGGAATGGAAAGGAAAATACCTTCATAAATATGATTTATAGTGTATATTTCACTGCATTATTTCCATCCTTTGCTGTTACTTTCTTAGAGCTTCTGCTGTGCAGCCACATCTTACAAGAAAGCAAATACTTGCAAACCAGTCCAAGACCATCTTCTGAAGGCATCTCAGGCTTTTGCAAAAATTATAGCATGATATCAAACATGCTAGAGCTTGCAGATTACAGCGTGAAGTCCTCTAAATTAAAGCCAAAAATAGAGAAGCACATTTGAAGTTACCACAAGCTATCTTTCATGAAGTGCCAATCCATCTCTAACAGCTGGAGGCTTGAGAGCTCATGAGCATTATTATTACAGGACCCTAATCAGAAAATTTAATTTTCAGAAACTCTCATTTTCAGGGGAAGCATACATTTCTATGGAATTGGATTTTTCTGCCACCACACGTGCACTAGTAAGCTTTTCCTTCAAATATCTCATAGGATTTGACAGAAAGAAAAAAAAAAAAGTAATGCTGTTTCAACTCCATTTCTGAGTTATTGTTCCTCAGTAGTTAGCGCAGCTCGTGGGAGGTGACATCAATTCAATTTGCAAACTGAACTTTCCTTTTCCTCCCCCTCCCTTTTGTTTCGTACCAGGTTTTATTGGAAAACCAAGCACGCTTAAATCACTGCAGCGATGATTAAATGCACAGGAACAAGGTTTAAATACATATCAAGGATGAACACAAACCACATTAGTCTAATATAGCACTGATTTAGCATGCTAACGGTGGATGGTTGTGCCACCTCAAAACCAGAAGGAACATCTACAAGCAAGCTAATGTACTGCAATAGCACTTCCTCAAATTCTCCTTCTGCCACCAAAGAGACCACATTTATTTATTTATTTTTAATTAGAGGTTATGAGAGCAACCTGCCCTATTTCTGCCTGAGGGAAAGGCACAGGAGAGGCTTTCCTTGATTATTTACAGCACTGTCACTCCTTACGTCCACCTTAGACATAAAAGACATAACAAGATGCTTTTTGTGAGGAAATCCTAAGCTGAGAAGTGATGGTAAGCAATTAAGAAAAGATCCACAGCTATTGAAACTAATTTTTATGTCTGAGCTGATTCAGGCAAAATAGGAATATTAATCTGCTTTGTTCCATTCCCCAAGTGAACTCCTATCTCTGGTAAGTGTTCTCCCACCAGTTTTACTGCAGCTAGAACTCCTGACACTGCTCCTGGAGAGCTTTCTGCTATACTCCTGCAGAATAGCTCCGTTTCAGTGCATTAGCAGGCTAAATAGTAATTAACACAAACATTCCTGACTACCTTTAATTGTGGCCAAACTAAGGCACAAAGCATTTGGCAGGGGTTTTGTTTAGATCTCTGATTCTACATTTTTACCAATTGTTCACATTCTATCACTTCATATTGATGGAATGAGGGCAACCTTTCCTAAAGCTCTGAATAACAGGAAAACAACTGTAAGGTAACCTGCATCACCCAGGGATTTCAGCTCTACATCTAAGGGACAAATCCCAAATACAATTTTTAATAATGGTGAAACTTTGACATAGCAGTTTAGAAAACAACTCTATTCTACTAATCCTAATCATCAGATGGGATTATATGACAAACATTACATATTTTAATATTGCAGTAATCACAAAAAGTGGAACTTTCTATAGAAATCTTTTAAAGCTCTTACCAAATTTGGATGGTGTATTATTTATACCCTCAGTCCCCAAATCCATATTTTATGCAACTTCCAATTGCTCTTCTAACATAGTACTTATTAATTTAAAAGCAGTGATACTTACCAACTTTGATTCAAATACATGGCTTTGTCATCTACAGCAGCAGATTAACTCTTTTTAAGTGTCTCACCACTCTAAACACCTCAATATTTCCCAACAACAGCATACAATGCAGAATTAACTCTTCACAATACCACATGCTGAAAATAATCCATCCAGAAAAGCCCTTGCTCTTACTAAGCAGCTGGAATTCCCCAAGAGCCAACAGTTCACACATTTGGCTTCAATTGATGATTCTCCCCCTGCATTCCCAACAAAGCGATGATAAAATTTATCGTGTATAAAAGCAATATTCTCAGTTTATGCTCATCCTTTCATTTATTTATTTTTAAACTCACACTGAAGTTTATTTAGAGCAGGAAGTATTCTTTTATTAGCCCATATAACACCCAATACACAGAAGCTCCCTACTGGCAATGAATTCTAAAACACTAGTTTTGAAGTTCACGTTGATTAACATGAACTGATGACAGCGAAACAAACGAAACTATGATGCAGTGGAGTGAGTTCAATGCAAAGTCTATAATGTTTATACTGTAGGAAAAAAAAGATCACTATAATTAAATAAAGAATGAATAAGACAATGACTGGGATTCCAATGAGAAACAAGAAACGTATCTTGAGAACAGAGAGAAATAATCCTTGAAGCAAATGTCCCAGGGACTTGTTAGTGATTCTGCAACAGTATTTCCCAAACTAAGGTGGCATGCCCTTGTGAAAGGCTACTTCAGATCATCATATATACAAGTCTAGGACACCATCTAAAACCAAGAAGAAAAACTTTGCTCTTTCTGCTCATCCTCAGAAGCTTTAAAGAGTGAAGGGAAACTGCTAAAACAGCTCTGCAACAACAGCACAGAATTGCAAAATCATTTGAATTGGAAGGAACCCTGAAAGGTAATCGTGTTCAATTCCCCTGCAATGAACAGGGATATCTACATCCCACTTTCAAAACACTTTTTTTTAAGCCTAAAGTCTCATAAACAAGAATCTCAAGTGTTTTTGAAAATGCCATGCTCTGAGAGTCAGAGCATTTTCTTTCTCAACTCTCAATTTCTCAAGAAAGACAAAACAAACAACTGAAATTAGTACTGTTTTGATGAACAATGATTTACACATGAAAATCCTCTTAGGAAGGCAGATTACATGGTCAGTAATAGCTACAGCTTCCAGAAAAAAAGAAGCAGTTGAATATTTCAGCAGTGCTAAAGCAATGCTAGAATTGACTGCTTCAGAAGTTGCTGCATTTCTCAAACATTTTCTGTCATTAGAAATACTTCTGGAACAGTAAATAGGAGATTGCTCCAAGTTGTGAATAGCAGCTTTAAACTTAAAGATCATCTGCTTGTGATGACACAGTTACTAAAAAGGACTACTGACACGTTACTTTCCCTTGAAAATGAAATAAAAATCTATTGTCCGCAGTTCCCTGTAAACTGTGTTCACAAAAATAACAGGCTTTCATAAATAACCATGATGTTAACGCCGAGCAACCTGAAAAAAGAAATTGTAAAGGCGTCACTTCAGAATGCCGGCGCTTGGCCTTCCTTTAAATTTAAGTGAAAACTCAGAATCTCAACACTGAAAAGTTATTTTCTTAAAACGCAAAGGCCGTTTTTCAGCCAAGAAAAGAGTTGGGAAAAGAAAAGTCACGCTTCTGTGAATGTTAAGGTTCTCAATAAAGCAACTTCCTGCCTTTAGTATCTATCCCAACTCAGAAAGAGCAGAATTGGAGTGTTGAAGAAATTCTTACTTCGTGTTTTTATACTAACAACAACTAGAAAATATGTTTGTCTAGGAGGCACTACATGAAAAAGCTTAAATTACTGAAAGCCGTATCAGCTACTCAACGCAACATTTCACTGAACACCAATTTATCCCCATAATAGCAGAAGATTACAGGCTTACTACCCACCTTCTGCTTCACAAGAAATTATATACAAGATTCTTCACATTTAAAACTGCTTTTCTGGATAGACTGTGGCATCAGTAAAATACTTAAAAAATGGTATAATTCAAAAATTATTGGGTAGACTGATTTGGTAAAAAGACCTAATTTAAAGCATTACCAGGACCTTATTTGCAAAAGATCTGTTCCTTGCAAGACTAAGATAAAAACATCACACATCTTTTTCATGTTCAAAAATGAAACTGTGGTCTAATGATCAAATTTAAAAGACGAAGACTGGAAAATGTCAAATGTGAACAGGAGAAAATGAGGGTTCATCTAATTTAACTAGATGAGAGGGGAAAAATATCTAACACCAGGTGACTGATAGGTGCAGTAAACTTGCAGAAAGTTATTCTACTGTTCAAATTCTCTGTGTTTCAGAGGCCCTGGGGAATGATTCTCCTCCTTCAACCCTAACTCAAGGTTTATGACATTGCAGAAGTAAAAACACAGTTGTTTTTCAAGTCCCAGTTGCACGGTTAGGCTGTGTATTATGCAAATAAATAAACAAACTACAAATATAGTCGCAGGTGCTGTCAAAGTAACTCCTGACTTCAACAGGGAGGAGGGAGGACAGGTATGTAGAAAAGCCCTGCTGCACTATTTCATCACATACTACAGCTTGCACAAACACACAGGAAAAAAAATACTTAGCTTGGAAACGGAGAGAAGTTCATAGAAAGAATGAAGCTCTGTGCAACACTCAGAGCCAACAGGATGCAGAAAATGCAGTCCTTACTTTTGTATCATTTAGGTGAACAGAGATTAAATCATGCAAGCTAAAATACTGACATCAAAGGAACAATGAAGCATTTTGCTAGGGCTGAAAGGTAAGAGAAATGCCCACATTCTCCCAGATCCTCCAGAGAAAGGACTTTCCCTTTCAACATGGAAAATTCCTCTTTTAAAAGGAGGAACAGAGAAAGCAGAAGTCTTTCCATGTATTGGGAAAAAGAAAAAGACAAAAAAGAAAAAGCACTTCTCTGCATATCTTGTGCTGGCCATTAAAAATAAATAAATACCCAGATTTCAAGGTGTGTTGTATTTGCCACTGAACAAATAAAGGTCA